ACAAAACAGGAGATGAAAATATGAGCGTTGGAGGCAGGAAATGGGGGCCCCAGGGAAAGGAGAAGACTGTGAAGCACTAAACCAATTTCTAATCCTTTGCAGGAAACTTCCTATAGTGGCCCTATTAGGAGGCAGAGTGAGGTTTCTTTCTCAGTTCCTGTTCATAGAATAGTAGAGCTGGAATGGGGCCAAAAAGGCCATCATCTCCAACCTCCTGCTGCTGCAGGTCACCAATTTACACCATCCTACTCAGATGACTGTTCAGTTTCTTTCTGAATGTCTCTAGTGTGGGAGAGTCCATCACCTCTCTAAGCAGCTGGTGGTCACCACTTGAATTGATTATTCTGTGTCCTACACACTGGTATCATCAAAAAGTGATCTTGAACTTACTCTTTGTGACAGCCTTTGAGGTATTATAGATTTGTATCATATCCCCGCTTCTCAAGGCTGTACATACCCGGTTCTCTCTGTCTTTCTTCATAGGGCAGTGTTTCGAAACCCTGGATTGTTCTCAGTGTATTTTTTGTATTTTTGTATTTAGTGGTAATTTATTATGTTCTATTGTATTTCAATGTATTTTATTGTGTTGTAAGCCGCCCCAAGGCTTCGGCAAGGGGCGGCATAGAAATATAATAATAATAATAATAATAATAATAATAATAATAATAATTGTTTTGGTTGCGCTTTTCCTGCATTTTCCTTGGTTTCTAGAACTTGGCATAGTATTCTAGATGAGGTCTGACTAGTAAAGAGTATAGGAAAACTACTACTTCTCATGATTTGAAAGTAATACTTCTATTAATGCATCCTAGAATAGCAATTGCCCTTTTGGCAGCTGCATCACATTGTTGGCTCATATTTAACCTGCTTGTCCACAATAAGTTCAAGGTCTTTTTCCTTTTCAGTTTTGCTGAGGCACATATTGCATTTGGTTTCTTTTTTCTAAGTGGAAAACTTGGCAGTTATTCATTATTGAATCTCATCCTTTTAGTTTCAGCCCAGCATTCAAATTTATCAAGATCTCCCTAGGTCTTCATTCTTTCTTTCACCGTGTTTGCTATTGTCAGAATCCCGAAATCTCAATTTGAGAAGAGGATATAAAACTCGGGTTCATGGGAAAGATCAAGCGTCCAGACCATCTTGGCTTTATTGCATTACCCAGGTTCCCCGCGGGTCCATACTCACGATAATGCATTACCGGGCAGGCAGAGGTGAACTCTGCTGCTTCAATACCATTACAGGGCATTTATACTCTCTTGGTTAGGTACACAGGTGCAGGGCAATTGATGACAGAATGCAGACATTACAATAAGGTTCTGAGGTTATCACATACAGAACAGATAAAGGAATGTCAGTCAATCATACAGAGACAATGAGATTACAATATTTCTAACTGCAGTGTATTGACACTTTAGTTGAGTAACTTGAACCCATCTCCAGGTCTGCTTTGACATGTAAATTCAGGCTACTGAGAAACTATTCATGATAAGCTCAGACCCCTATCTAGACTCTAGACATTCTGAATGACCAGGGCACATGAAGCCCTCTGGGCCAGGAAGATACTTCCTGGTAAACTGAATTCCAATGCCATTTTAAACAGTGACTTAGCTTGGTTTTGAGGAGTACAGGATTTGATCCCACAATGCAAAAGCACACAGAAGTCATGCTTTTCAGACAGGATTTATCCAAAATTTCCCAACACTATTCCACCCAGTTTTGTATCATCTGCAAATCTGATTATATTTCCTTTTACTCCCCCATATAAATCATTAATAAAGATGTTGAAGAGCACTAAGCCTAGGCCTGAACCCTGTGGAACCCCACTAGTTACCTCCTTCCAGTTTGAAAGGGTGGCACTGATGAGCACTCTTTGTGCCCAGGTTAGCAGCCAATTTTGGATCTATTTAATAGCTTTTCTATCTAGCCCAGTTTTTGCTATTTGCTCATCAGGAGGTTGTGGGGCACTATGGTGAAAGCTTTGCTAAAATTGAGGTAGATTAAATCCACCGTGTTTCCTCTGTTGTGGCTTTATAACCAATGTAAACAGAAATAAAGTTTAAAAATTGGGGCGAGGGGTTGAGTTGTCCTTGAACATGTTCTGTTCTGCCCTTTGGCATACTTCTGGCTCCTGGTCTCACCCTGGACCATGTCTGTGATTTGGACTTGCCAGTAAACCTTGCTTTTGAACTCTGTCTTGCCTGAAGTTCTGTTGCCTTGGTCATCGGTGTCTTGGGCATGGACCCTGACAGTATCAGGCTACAGAACAGGGAGGAAAATGTATCATCGCTGGTAATGTAAAATTGAATCCTAATATACCCTGTGATTAGTTGAGTTGTGTCATTGAGTTGAAAGAACCAGTGCTAAATGACTCCATCATTTTAAAATACCAAATTGCAGGATGCTGCAATAGTAGGATGTCTCATTTCGATTTACTTAGGTGACTCAACCTACCCCCGCCCCCCACCAATCTACAATCATGATCCTTATTGGGAGAATTAACTAATATGTGTTAGAGGGGTATGTTGGCAGTGTGATAGAACTAGATTGTCATAGAACTGAAATGTGTGAGCCTGGTGTGAACATCTCACCCACGCAAACCTTTCCCCACTTATGTGAATATTTTTTCCTGATGTAGAAGAACAAGTTGGTAACTCTTCCCTGCCCAGTTAGAATCAATTCATCAAAGCTGATCAAGCCATCAGTGCAGGAAAGAGAGCCCTGATGGGCCGAACTCATTCATCAGGAAACAGTTGACAACAGCCAAGGACTAGGGCTTCTGCAACTCAGCCCTTGCTTCAGCCACGAATGCAGCAGGTGGCCTTAGACAAGCCATGATTCCACCTCTGTGATTCAGTTACTAGTACCAACTTCTCTTACAGCAGGGTTGTTGTACCTTTTCTAGCCTAAGGACTGGGTTGATTTTCAGCGAAATTTGGGAAGGGCTCATTGCAAGAGCCAGGAAGAGTGGAGCCAGATTTAAAGAAATTTTAGCTTAAAGTTCTAGCTGCAAGTAATTAGTCTTAAGAGAGGGATTTGAACACTTGAGAATGAAAGGGGACAGGGAATGTGCAAAATCTGGAGGGGAACTACCAAACCATTGCTGGAATGTAACCATCTGAGACACCACAGGTGGGCTGAATTCAGAGCATTGTAAGGCTCTGAATCCCTGCTTACAGAGCAGTTGCATTAATGATATATGTAAAATGCTTTTGACATGCCTAGATCTCTAAACAAAAGCTAAGTATTATCAGTATATGTAGCTATTCCAGACACTCTATTTGGGCCATGGCATTTTCAATATGATTCATAATGAGAGAGAGCTTCAGCTTCGGCAGTATAGAAATATAATAAACAGATAAATAATTACCAAACAGTTTAAGTTTTCCATCTCCAGAGAACACTTTTCATGTCTAATAAGAAATTTCTGTTTATTGCTATTTTTATTGCCTGAGTCTTTTTCAGTAGTGCTAAAATAATTTAAGAGTTGCATTTAAAATTATTATGGTAAAAAAAAGATTTCCAAGATACCACTATTTTGGCAAAGTAAGTGCTTGATGGAACTGGGGACAGGGAAGTTTTCTTTTTAATTTTTAAAATTAGCATTAAAACCATACTGTTATAATGCTCTTAATATTTTTTATCTAAGATAACAATACAGTATTCTAGAGATATTATATATAGCACTATATGCATACAATGTTTTTATTAAAACTAAATAACACAAACTCTATCTGTTAACGTGGCAGTGAGTAGAGAAGGGTTTCGTTCTATCACTCTTAAAATATATGTTGCATTATTATTAAATAGATGTTTATACCATTGCCATATTTAATATTTCTAAGCAATATGAGTATAGTACTATAATACTTTAATTCAAGGAATATGTCAGTAATATTTTAATTGTTTAATAATCAGAAAAGAGATTTAGCCCTAACGATAGACCAATATATATGTATATGAATATGTATGGAATGGCACTCATGGTAAGGCTATACAAATACGTGTTGAGCTATGTTAGGCTCATCTTTCCAATAGTCACTGTCACCTATCTTAATTACCTTGTCTGTGGAGATGACATTATTCTTCTGTCATTTAAAAAAAAAAGTTGGATTTTCTTCAGTGCAAAAAAAGCATCATTGGGAAAACAGAACTAAAACAGATCACAGGTTGTGTGTACTCCACATACAATGTGAAAGAGGATACTAGAGTGATTCCACAATAAATACTTGCCTAAAATCCGTGTTTGTCTCAGTCTAATAACAAGATTGCAACAAGGACATTTTTATGTTAACCTAATTTTCTTCAGAGTATTAGGAGAAAAGCTGTAACATCCACCTGGTACTAGTCAGTCACATTTTATGGTGATCAGCAACTGGAATGTACTATTATTTTGCATCCAGTAGGATTAAATGTGTTAAATTGTGGGAATCTCTAGAGTATGGGTGAGCAACCTCAGCTTAATTCCAAAAGCTCTGTGAAAGCCATCAGACCTTTGGTGAGAGACCTCTGCTCCTCCAGTGGAAATCTACTATGGAGAGAAGGCAGTTTCCCCATTCCCTACTGACTTTGGCTGTACCCATACAACCCTTACCAGATCATCAGTGCCCAGACACAGCATCCAGTGGTTAGAAAGCTTGGGTTTGTGAGCTTTGTTAGAAATAAAGAAGTGGTGACAATTAAATACATTTGGAAGTGATTTATAATGGTGCTTTCTTTTAATTGGGTAAGGCAGCAGCCTTCTCCAACTTGGTACCTCCAGCAAATCCCATCTTCCCCAGCCAATATGACAAAAGACCATGTTCCAGGAATGATGGGACTTGGAGTTTGGATCATGCCATATTGGAAGTTGGGGAGAGACAATTACACACATATACAACCCCAGGCAAGATCCCAGATGCTAAACATGATCATTGATTCAGTCTCCTCACTGCATCCTGACCCTTGGAAAGAGCATTTTCACAAGTTATCTGACTTTTGCCTGACATCCATGGGACAAAGAGTTTTCAATTACATTTTATTGTTCCACACTTAATTTTCTTACAAAAGTTTTCAATACACATTCACAAGTTCTCCAGGCAATTATTGCCATTTTCCATATTTAAAAAAAATGTAACAGAACAACACACTGAGCCACCTGCAGACACACAAGCTAGATATTCAGATTCCCAGAGATGAGAAGAGAAGTCCCTGTTGGCTAAGAAATAAGTTAGTCTACAGCCAGAAATGTGATATGGAAGAGATCCACACATGGAACAGTAAGCCACATATTATTCAACAAGAACACACAATATACAGATCAATAACACTTGATTAGGAAGATGCATCTTTTGCAAAGCCCTCATCTCATCTTTTTTAAAAACTGATTTTTAAAAAGGTAACAATTCAACAATTTTTAGAAGGAAGTTTCATTGGGCAAATATTTGAGAATGCCAAAGCAGGCCTTCACATAACCAGTTGCAGTGAGGCTGTAGGTTAATTTCTGGCTCCTGCTCTGCTGTTCTTAGTGAAAATATGTGGCTTAAGGGAAGCGATCATATCCCCAGCAGAGCTCCAGAGCTCTGGCATTAGCTGCAAATATGCCCAGTGTTCACTCAAGTGTGCCCTATACAATACCCAGTTACTGATATGCAAGTGAACTGCAGCTGAGTTTTGATCCAGGTTCTGGTCCTTCATCTCAGATAAAACATAGTTGTGGGGCAGTATGCAGTATGGGCCTTTTCCCCATGAGATGCCAGGAGCAAATAAACAATAGCAGATCTGTAAGCTAGGGCATGCAAGCATGTAGGTGTCAAGTTGTTTTGCCTACAGCTCCCATCACTTCTAGTCAACACAACCAACTGTGAGCCCTCCAGATGGTTGACCTACAGGTTGTCTAGCCCTGCTATATATGTTTCCAATTGAAACCTGGAGATACCTAATTCAGATAGCTGGCTGAGTAGGTTTACCATGGCATACTTATAATCCACACCGTTCTACTGCTGTTATTTGGGGGATATGGCTAAGAGGCAGAAGAAGGTTGTGCTGCCACATCTAGTTACTGATTCAGGCTTAGAATATGCCAGGACTTCCAGCACAGTGTTGAAAGAAGAAAATGTGAAGTAGAACATAGAGGATGTCCCCTGTGGAACAATGAAAACATGAGAACCTGGTTGTATTGCAAGTTGTATTGCTTCTGGAAACCTTACCAAGATTTAGAGAATGAGTAAAGAGTTGAGCCCCTCTGGTAGGGGTGGTCAAGATGTTTTGGCCTACAGTTATAATCTATCACCACTGGTTATATGACTGATGGGAGCTATAGGCCAAATCATTTTAAGTTACTCACCCCAGCAATATTGACATATTTAGAAAATTTCTCAAGTGTATTTCATTATCACCTTTCCCAGAAAATGCAACTGATGGTTTCTGGGAAGGCTGAACATCTAATCCTGACTGCAGTTGTACATCAATAAGCAATGGAGGACTGGCAGGTATGAGGAAGAAGGAAGGTCTGTGTGCATCCTGTAGCAGAGAACATTTTAAAAAATACAAACACAAAAAAGCAAGCATTCAAGTTTTTGCAACCACCAAACATGTCAGGGTTTTCTGCTTTTGTAAATTGTGCTTTTCATTACAGCTCTGCTTTCCTGACACAGCTGTTTATTGCTTACACTTTAAAACGAGGCTATAATTAAGAAAGGGAGGGAGACAAGAACCAAGAAGCAACAGGACAGGTCTGAGTGACCCTTTTTCTTCTAAAGATGGCTCTCTACTCCAGCATCGTCTGGAAGTACAGTAGTGGATGCACAAACATTCCATAAATGTTGAAAAGTTCTTGAGAGTCATACATTTAATCTCTTAAACACATTCACTCATTTGAAAGACTTGACCTAGATGATGGCCATAAATATAGGTGCCTCACCCATAATGAAGAATATTTACTTCTGGGAAGAAGGCTATCTTCTAGTTGAAACTAGACTTCTAGAGTAATTGAACTAGAAGGAGGAGTTAGCTAGACTCAGCAGATGATAACTTGAAACTATGTAGTGAGCCCAAGTTTAAATGGCCTGAATCATGACTCCCATCTCACTCTAAAACCAATATCCCCTTCCGGATTTAAGTGTCTGGTTTTGGATGAAATTCATGAGGTCCTCTGGGTTGCGTGTAGATGAAATGTCTTGTTAAAAGTATTCGTTGATATCATGGGACTGTATTGTCTCTTGTTCCCAGGAGGGTCCAACATGATGATGCTGCAGCAATTGGGTTCAGTTTTAGCTGATGGACAGGTGAATGAATGGGCACAGAACTCAAAACTGAGGTAGGAAAAGCAAAACAGGATCCTTCAAAGCCTTTGCTCAGAGTCAGTTCTTCGGTGAAGAAAGACACAGCATCCCTTTTGCAAGAGGCAACAGGAGGGCTGGGAGCAGAAGACAGTATTTCTGACTCATACTGCAGCAGTTGGCCCATGAAACCAAAGTTTGGTGAGATCAGACTCCTACGTTGTTTGATGTAATCAAAAGCTTCCTCCAGGCGAAACTTTCTCATTTTCATCAAATAAGCCATGCAGATTGTGGGAGATCGAGAAATTCCAGCTTCACAATGCACCAAGATTTTGCCCCCTGCCCGTCTGATGCAGTCTAGAAATAATAATAACACAAGTTAGAGCTACTTCTGCATTGAAAATGTCACTGGTCATTACACATAGATGTCCCTAATGATAGCACACCATTACATAAAAGATGATTTCCCAAATCGTATTTCACAATTCAGCTTCATAAAGGTACAAGGAGCTGTTGGAAAGCTGTTAATTTCAGAATTCAGAAAAGGTATTTCACTTTGTCCAAATAACAAGTCTTAATGGCTTAGTAGTAGGTAAAGAAAAGGGGTTTTCCTCCCCCTTTTCTAGCCAAGTTATAGCAGCAGATGTGTAATAAAACAAATACTACAAAAACCACAAAAGGACTGAAACACAGTTAGGTTCCTTTCATAAAATGGCACAAAGTTTCAGTCAAGGCTGTGTACGCCTTCCCGTTGGATGAGATGTGCTGATTTTCCTGTTGTTGGCCAAGAACATGAAAGGTACTGCTTTTGTCCCCACCCTGTGGGCTTTTTTGGTAGGCACTCAGCATGCGTTTTGAGCAGGCATGTCAAGTCCTGGGTTCCTGGGGCTTCCACCACAAAGTGCACAATGAACGAGACTAAAATCTCTAATTATAACCATTGCTAAGTGGCACTTGGACTTAAGTCAGGCTATAAATGGCATAGGCAGAACTACCATTTTATGCAGTGGGAGGCCCCAAGGTTACTCACACAATTCAATTATTGTTGTAAGATTAAAAGAAAATGTTGAAAATAAGCTCCTTGAGCAAAAATTGTGGATTAAAAATAGAACTTGCTCTGCTTTGACTGGCTTGAGAAATAACATTCCCAAGTTACATCTTAATGCAAAATATAATTGTTAGATGTTAGATGCTATGCTACCTTCTGACCAGGGTCATATAATTTAACTTTTACTTACTTAACTATTAGATTAAATTTTAAGAAATTCTGGGAGCATCAATAAGATTTTAAGTTTTTAAAAACAGAGTGTACAGTTCTGCATGAACAGTCATCAAAACAATACTGAAGCTATATGCAAAGCACTTAACAAACCTACGATTGTTCTCCTCATACTGAAGATGGAGCATTGGGGTAGACAGGTAGCAGCTTACTTAAGTCTACCTAGCAAATTTGTGGAAAGGACAAGATTTGTTCTGGGAAATTCCTGGTTCATTGCTCAACCTCTTAGATAAAAGCAGTATCTCTGCAATCATGCCTACAGATAGGTGAAGATTTTTCTTAAACAGCAAGGAATCTGAATGACTGAACTAAGCTCATAAGCAGTAATTTCTATTATTAAGCATTCTTGCTCTGGTCTGGAGAGCCCACCCACTATCCTTTTGATTTCATTCAGGCGGTGCTGCACCTCTCCAATTGGTTCATGATAATTGTACACTAACCCTTTCTTTGCAGCCACCTTGCTGAAGCTAAGCAGGGCTGGGTCTGCTCAGCTCTTAAAGAGGAGACCAGCTGGGAACCATAGGTAGGGACCTTGAGCTTCATGATGGAAGGAAAGGCGGAACTGACTGATTATTACAGCGCAAGTTCCGTCAGCCTTAATGGGCTACATCTCTGCTTCTTTTGTAAGCCTTGCACTGCGAGTCAAACTACATTTAGGCTTAGCTTGGGCATGTTTAAGCCTTATGCAAAGTTATCGGACTGCACTGCATGGCCATTTGGATTCATTGGTTACTCTTTTTCTCTCTGTGCCCACATGTAAAAACATATATATTTATTTATTTTAAATTTTCTATACTGTCATTTATTCTAGTGACTCTCATGATGGTTCACAAAAACTGTCATATATATACAGGTGTGGGTGTGCATGTGACTGTGTGTGCATGTATTTGAGATGAATCTGACAAAGTGAGCTTTGGTCCACATGTGATAATAAACATTTTAAGGTTTTTAAAACAGAGCAGAACAACTTGCGGTGCACCAGAGATTCTGGCATACAGCTCCCATCAGCCCTAGTCAGCATAGCCAACAGCCAGGAATGATGGGAGCTGAAGCTTAAACACCTGGAGGATCGTAAATTACCCACAGCATTGTGCAAAGGTCCAGAACTGACTTTGCTAGAAAAATAAATGCTTCTGTTCTGTATTTCTTTAACTACCTCAAGTTCACTAACAAAATCTGAGTTAAAACAAATGTTAAAAATGTATGATTACAACAAACTGAAGCACGCATAAAACACTAAACCAGAAGAAAGATAAAGCACAAAAAGCTTTCAAAAACCAATACATTTTCAGTACAATCATTGTAAACTGTCCAGAGAGCCTTGGCTATTGGGTGGCATAGAAATGTAATAAATGAAATGAAATCCTCTGCTTGTTTACTTAGAAATAAGCTCCATTGAGATCACTGAAGCTTATTCCAAGCTAAGTGGGTGTCAGATTGCAGCCATAGCCAGACAGTCAAAAACAACCCCTGCAATGGAGCAGCCATTTATGGCCATAAAACCTTCTTAACAAAGGAAGCTTTTAACTATCCTACAGCAGGCAGGCCATTAAGGGAGGTAAAGAGACATAATTCTTTGGGAAGGGATTTCAAAGCCTGCAAATAGCCATTGAAGAGCTCTTCTTCCTACTTTCAGCTAAGCATATTTCTGGGAACTTTGGGACAGGTAGGAGGACCTCCAATAATGATCTCCATGGGCACGGTTACCGTTTATTTCAATGCAACTCCTTTTGAGTGGTAGAGCTTGAGACTTGCAAGTGGCATGGCTATCTTTACTTTCAACATAAAGAAAACACACCTACCAATAAACTCTATTGCTTCCTGGAAGTGTGAGCTGATGTCTGCTGTGTGACTGTCTTCCACCGGAATCCACTTATAGCAATACTGATCTGTAAAGGGCTCAGAGCGCTTCCTGGAGACGTTCAAGAGTGCAGTGATGTTCAGATTGGCAAGGAACTCACATTTGGAAGCATGGTAGGCACTGCCAAGGTATAAGAAAGGCAGGATCTCCACTGGGCCACCCTGGAAGGCAAGTCATTATGTATAATTATGCGTTTTCTTCCTGCCTTGTACAAGTTACTACATCGAGACACTCAGCAGAATTGACAGCAGAGGATGACCTTTGTGAACAGCCAGACGTTACCAATACCACCCAGACAGGAAGTACTTTGCAAGAGACAGCAGTTTCTGTTGCGGGGGTTTAGAAATACTGTTGTGGTTTGGGCGTTATAATTGTTGTGCTCCATAGGCCTATCCTGCCACTTCATTTGCGCTGGCAGGGCTTGCCCCTTAAAACACGTGCATGCAGAATGCTGATCAGTCATTAATCCACTCCAGTAAGGGGTGTGCTACAGAAGGAAGGACACCCACAAATCACTGGGGTGGAAGACTCTGTGGAAAACAAAAGGGCTTGATTTTTTTCCATTCACCTTGCTAAAAGCTGATGGATCAGAGCCATCTCATTCACATATGTCCTCACTCCGTCCCATCCCCAAAAGATCTTTACAGCAGGGTGAGGAACACATGGCCTTCCAGATGTTGTTAGTTATAGCCCACTGGCTATACTGGCTAGGGCTGATGGGAGTTGCAGTCTAACAACTTCTGGATACCACCACATGTTCCCTGCCCCTGATTTTGATAAAAAGCCTGTGAAGAATTCAAAGTACTGTAGACATGGCAATTCACCCAGAAGTCTCAAAGTTACCTTGCAGAAATCATACCATGTACATTCCATTTAATGTTCCATTTAAAAGAAAAGCACAAGCACATTATCGGGCTTTGCACAACCCCCCTTCCCTCTGTGCTTCTGTACGCCTACTTATAAATGGCAGATAGCGGCTGCACAGAGCCTACTCCACCTTCTAGCCGTCTCCCTAGCCCAAAGCTACCATAGCACAGGAAGCCCACAGCCCTGCGGCATTAGAAGCACATCCCTGTTGCTCTTAGCAGTCCCCAAACACCTTACTAGCGAAGTTGCCCTTCGGGGATGGAAATCAGGCAAGAACTTTGGAAGGGGAGGGGAGCCTGTCAGGGTTGCATGCTAGAGATCTTCACACAGTTACATGTGCAACACTCAGAAGGTCACACCCAAACTCCACTCGTCTTTGGCAAGGTGCTCAAAAGACCTTTGGGGACACTAAGAATGCTATGTGAGTTAGAGCTAGCCAGGCATAGTGTTTAGTGTAAGACTAGGACTGGAAAGGTTCAGTCATGAAAATTACTGGATGACCTTGGGTCAGCCTTTCCCTGCATCTCACCTTACCCAGTAGGATTGTCGTGGGGAAAGCGTTGTGTGCAGTGTGGAAGAAAAAGCAAGTGCTACCTTGAATTCCTTGGAGGAAAATGGCTTTTAAATGATATAACAACAAATGTATTCTGCAGAGAAAAAGTCACACACAGACTACAGCATCTTCTACAACAATGGCTAGGTTGGAGATGCTTTCCATATCTGGGGGCGGGGGTTTTAAAAAATGCATGATTTATCCAGCTCGTTGCATTTTGGCTCACTGTATTTTTCACTGAAGAGCGGCTGCTGCTGCCGCAGGAGCAGGGCCCAGACAACAAGCACAGGCTTCTAGTTAGGATAAGAGCTGCCTTGGAAGCGAGAGGGACTCTGCTACAGACTTGCAAGTTCTAGTTTACGACGGTTTTGTACATAGCATGCCCCTGTACCAAAAGAAATCTCCATCATAGAGACAGAATGCTAATATATTGGGTCAGAAATGTGTATAACCTGATGATAATGACATCTTCACCAAGAATGACACTGCTGGCCAAAATGATCCACCATGAGATGTTTTGTGCTCTGAAATGTGTATTGGCCCCACTCTGCTTCTGTTTGTCACAAGAACAGTCAGAGATTGATGCTAGCTGAACCCTAGGAATCCTGCCCTGCCCTTTTCCTTCACCTTGATATGCCAGCTTATTTGCAGTCCTTAGTAGTCCCTCTTCGACACTAGAACTTGCACCAGTTAAGCAGCACAGAAAATATACTGTCCTGAGCTGTATATACAGCTACATTTTAAAATTAGGTTACAGAGATAGAACAGCATCCCAGGGCCATATATACACTTGCCCGTACTTAGAATGATGGCCTTAATTCCTGGTGAGACTCATACAATAACGTTTTCTTAAAATTACTATGGACTGCATTAATCAATAGCAGGGTAATTGCTTGCACACATACAGATATACACAAACTGGTACTGGTATTATATGCCCTGGGGTAAAAAATTGCTTAACAGGAAAGGGTTCCTGTGCAGTTCCCTGTTTTACTTCTCTGAACATAAGCAAGAAACAAAGAAAGACATGCATTGGTGTTCTCTGATCATATACATGTGAGGCTTTGACTTTGCCGCTCTCCTTCAGCCTGTTCATGTAAAGCGGTTTGTCTATGAAAGCACATCACAGCCTCCATTCCTGTCTTTGAAACATGACAAACATGCACATTGGACTCCTTTTGTCACATTGCCAGACATGAATGAAAGAGCAAAGTAGTCCGTTAACAAACAGAATGATGACAGGAAGAGCCCCCAAGGAGCCCGAGAGCGTGGGTGGAATTAGTCATACCTTCCCCTGAACACACCTGATCATATGCTGGGTTTTGGTGGATGCACTGCTTCTCATAGAGGCTGTTGATGCTTCTGTCAGCTTCAGTCCTCTCTTGGGATACAGGCTTTACATCTATGCAGAACTCGGGGTACTGTGAATAAAAGGTTTCATACCCTCCTAGGAAGAAAGATGCAGACAAAGAAATACAAATGAGCGGAGTCAAAAGGGGAGGGGGAGAGATCATTCAATTGTGCTGGATCACCAATTAATTTGAGAAACTGTGATAGTGCAGCTCATGGAGAAGCTTCTTAAAAGAAGTCATCTCTGCTAGAGCTAAACAGTGCAGAATTGAAGGAACTTGGTAGCAGGCCAGTTTTTACCTGGTTAAAAAATGGTAATCTGGATTGCAATTCCTGGCAAATGGAAATGAGTTGGAATCATTTTCAGAGGAATATGATTAAAGTTAATCACTCCTTCATCATTTATTTCTGAGATTTTTTTAAAATCAGGCAACTGATGTTTATATACATTTAAGAAAATGCAAATTGGGAGGCTGTTATGTATTGATTAATAACTCCTGTTTAGTTCCCTTCTGGCAAATGAAATGGCTGTATTAACAGTCATAACATTTAATGAAATCCCACGGTGGCTTTAGGCAGCTAAACAGCCCCAGATGTGTGGTTTTACTCTGAAAAATAGATTTGCCAAGTTCGCTGTACAATTCACAATAATGAATGTATCTGTTGAGTTGTGGCTCAGAGCTTGATGTTGTGAATTATGCGTTTGAATTACACCTGCGCTTTCAAAAACAAACTCTACTAAACATATTTCTGTGTCCTTTTTAAAACTTTGCTTAAATAAGAATAGCTTTGCGTAAGGAACAAAACTTGCAGCCTTGAGCCACAAATACAGTCGGATACAAGTGAACAAAGGCATCATGGAAAGTGCCCTGTTGTTAAATAAATAATTGTATGACTCTCTAGCTGAATAATCATATGTAGAATCATACACAGTGGAAATTTTAAGCCCTTCTTTCCTGATGTTTGACCATATCGTCATCCCTTGAGTTGATACATGCCAAAACATTATTAGCAGGATATTGACAGAGGAAAGAAGTGAACCAGGGAGCTAATCCAAAGTCATTGAAATGGTCTTAGGAGGTTACTTTTTGCATGTCATTTGATCCAACCATAGTGCGGGGCTTTGCATCTCCATCTTTTAGATTCCACTTTATCCTCACTAAAATCTACCAGGTGTGTCCAATGAAAATAACAAAGAGGCCCATTATTAACTAATGCACAGAATGTTGAAAAACAAAAATAGCATTAAAAATTTGTCTATCACATATTAGCAGCATACATGTGGTAAAAGTTATCCTTAGCTCTTGATAGGGAAAGAAAATTAATTACACTGAGGTAAGAACTCCTCTTGATGTACTTTTGTCATTAGAACAAGCTATCAAGAAAACCCCACAAACATTTACGGTGAACAACCAGCTCACCTCTTCACCTTTGCTCAGAAAGATTTCTACATTCCATTTCATTTCATATTTCTTTTCCACTTTATTTCCTGACAGTTTGTAGATTGCAGGTTTAAGTATTACTTAACTTAAATTAATAAGTTATTTATAACACTTTATTTATAACCCTAACTCTAAACCTTTTTATTCTCCCATCATTTCAATTGCTGATTAGCAATTGTTTTTATACAGGTTTTTATCTAAATTATGATTGGCTGTTCTGGTTTAATATGTTATGTATTATTATTTTATTTTCTTGTTATAGCTGTGATTTTTTTGTATTTGGATATGATTTCATGGATGATGTGATTATTTTAATTATTTGTAAACTGAGAGCATATGCTGAAGAGAACGGTCTATGAAAACCTCTAATATATTACACGTATGTATGTATTTATTTATCTATGTATCAGATTTAAATCCCATCTTTTTTCTTACAAAGAACTTAAAAGCAGCTCACATAATTCCCCTCCTCCTGCTCCCAGTCTTATTCCCACAACAAGAACCCTGTGAGGTAGGTTGGACTGAGAATCTATGACTGGTCCAAATTCACTCAGTTGGCTCCATGGCCAGGTGGGAACTAGAACCCAGATTGCCTGAGTCCCAGCTCTGCGTTCTTAATCACTACACCACACTGGCTCTCTCAGATTATATACATTTTGTTCTCATTCCATAAATGAACAAATACAGGGGTCAGAGCAATTAATTTCTCTTGGGTGGATACTTTGCAGATGGGAAGTAACCAGAAGCTCTAAAGAATCAGGAGAATGGCAGGCAGCTCAAGTCACCATTTCATCCAGTCCTCCAGCCTTCGCAGGTACTCATTCTGCATACGTTTGCTCTCTATCGCTAGCTGAACTCTGTAGCTAATCATTTCTGTTAATACTACATTACTCATCTTGTGAGCAAGAGAGAGAAAGATATGCTTCATTTTGACTATCAGTGATTACAATTCTAGGCTTAGTAAAGTGGCAGCAGATGTATTCAGAATTCAAAAAACACATTATAGAAAAACAGTTCCTGTTGTAGTAAAAAATACCCCCCCTCTAGTCGAACATTTTAGAGGATGTTTTCCCCTAAAAGACTAGTATGTTTTTCATGATAAAACATCACATGTTTATCTGTGCAGGGAAACAAGAGTTATGATCACCTGGTAAATTCTATTCACATCTGTGGATGCATATAGATTCCATAGGGATGTCTAAACCCACTTAGGTCCACCAGATCATTTAACAAGCTTATTGGTAGAGAGAAAATGAATAACCCCAGTGGAAGTGTAAATCAGAGACACTGAAGTAACAAGTCCTGGATTCTTTTAAAATTAGGGTGGTGTGGGCACTGGTGGGAACATGACAAGGATTACTTCACTCAGTGGTAAATGTAATCCTGGTGAGCAGGACTGCATTTATGGTAGCTGTTAGCTGACAAGAGTTCTGACTCATGCCTTTATCTCACTCTGGCTGCCAGAGTCCAGCTCCACTTAGGAACCTCATTCCATTCAACAGTGAATTCTCTCTTTTGCGTCACTGTACTGACCAAAAAAAGAAAAAGAAAAAAGCCTTGGGATAAGCCCCAGGATTCTTTTGCTATTTTATAAGGGACATTCAGACAAAACCAAAAACATAGCAAGCATAGCAAGAGTTTCAAGAACAGCAATGGCTTAGAATTCTAACACAATCTTCTCGTGCAGCTAGTTTTGAGAGATAAATGCAGCCTGTGGCAAAAAAATGCATAGCATTCTATTTAAGGATTGCATTCAGCAATCATGCACACACACAGAGTTTCCTATATACTTAAATGTTCTTGCAGGATTAAACAAAAATAACTGTGAAGTCAAGTATTATTGATTTATTCTTCCCAAGATGGGCTAGTATAAATAGCTCAACAGCCAGCAATATAAAGGTAAGTTGGAAAATACACAAAGGGGTTTTTTTAATCAAATATCTGCACTGGATCAGACATCTCAGTATGCCCCAGGATTGAACCAGGATGACAGGAAGCTGATTGTGTGTGACGCAGTTCCTCTAAGGGTGACTTCTAAGCCTTGGAGTGGAAAATGAACTGACATTCAAACAAGTTTGATATTTGTCATTGTGCTACTCCTAAAACTACTTTAAAAAGATAATTCATTTAAATATTTTATTCCACTTTTCATCCAACAATTCTGTCCCAGCAACTTAAAACTGATCAACAAAAGGGCATTTTTAATAACCCATTATGAATCAAGATGCAAAACATTTTCAGATCAGTAGTAAGGAGATTTGGGAAGGAAGCGTATTAGCAGTGTAACCTCATGGAGTTTGTCATGAATCAGGTTCACTTCTGAAGGAGAAGAGCATCAGTTCCCACCCATCCTCTTGGCTTATGCAGCTGTAGGTCACAAACACTCTGATCCCCATTCTGCACACCAAGTGACCCTACTGTATACAAATAAAATGTATATCGGTGAACGAATTCTGAAAAATCCAGGGCCTATTCAAACTGGCTGTGTTTACTAGAAACTTCTCTTCATGTTAAACAGGGAAAATAGCCAAATTTTGCAAGTGATACTCAAGGAGACCAAAAACAAATGCAAAACAGCCCAGTGGAACATCATAAAAAAAATCTAATTATTTACTACATAAAAGTATGTGTACTTGCATAATAGATTTAATAGGGTTAACACATGCTCTCTGTTACAGAGAGGTGATTATTTACTGGCCCATGTATCTGAAAGGAGGCTACTGCGTGTGTCCCAACGGTTTTAGACTACAACATCCATACTCCAGTGGACATTATAACCGGGGTTGATAGGAACTGTAGTCCAAAACATCTGGAGAATTGCTGCCTTCGGATTCAACTAGCGTCGTCATCTTTGCAGAAACGAGGTTGTGGCAAGTGCTTCGAAGCATGAGTTACAGGGAATTGCCCTTTGGGGGGCACTGCTGAGTTTTTACACCAGCAGCTCCTTCTAGTTAAGGGAAGGGGCATTCCGATGTATCACTTGGTCTTGTGCTTCCTTCTCATTCCATGTATTAATATACTGCTTCTCAGGTACTTCTACTGAACTAACATAGTGGTTCAGAGTGGACCAACACACTTTAATAGAAACTTACAAGCAGAAAAGGTGTTTTTTGGAGTTTCAGCTGTTTATCTATATGCTAATTTATTCTGCAACTTCAAGCTATTTTTCAACAGACTACATTTTCTTTTTATATAAATGTGATGTTCTGATCAAAACTAACCTAATTTTTCACCCAATGCAAATAATCATGATTAGCCCCTGCATAATCTTTTCACAGCACATATTGAATATTAGACTATTTTCTTTTCAGCTACGTCTTATATTTCCAATCAAACACCATTTCTACCTTGGCAGTTGACAAATTCTCAAAGTGCAACATGTCTGCGTCGGGGGAGGAGGTGCGCTACTTGTCTGCCAGAAAAGAGATGAGAACGCTACTTATCTGCCAGATCCCGCTTAGCGCCAGGAAAGCAGTCTTGCTTTTGCTTAGCAGACATTGCAGCTCCGTATTTTGCACGACACGTATGTCATGCCACCCCCGAGTGCTGCGAAGTCCTCGCAGTCTGGGCGCCCTACGGTTACTGCCTCTTTGCACGCGCCCGAACAATGGCAGAACAGCTTGCAGCATCCCTAGGCGAGTCTCCAAGAGAGACTGGAATCCGTCGGCGCCACCCATACTGCGATAACTACATAAAGACAAGTGAGGGGCATTGTCTTCCTGGCTCCTAATAGTAGGTGGCTGCCCCTAGTCTTTCCCGATCACCCCCCGCCACCCCACCGCCAGAGCCTAGGTCAGAGGACGGGTCCAGAGCCAGAGGCTGCCCCTCGCCTCCGTGCAGGAGAGGGAATTTCGAGGGTACAACTTTTTCAGTCTCTCATAGCACACTAAAGGGAGAAGCGCCCTCCGCCCAAATCTCCTTTTCTTGGGCTTGTGCCCGTAGGGTGGTATTCAAGTTGGGTTTAAGTTAGATCCCATTCATTTCAAACGGGTGTACTCTAAGTAGGGCGAACCGCCCCAGGAGCGGGAAAAGTCCAGGAACCCTCACGCCGAGGGGCTGCTGCCAGCTGCGCTCGGCGCCCTCGCCCCATTTCCTCCTCGCCCGTGCGTGCCCCTCACCTTTCAGGAAGCAGATCCGGGCTCCGGGCTCCGGCAGGCTGGCCAGCAGCGTGTTCAGCACGATCTGAGCCGTACTCTCTTTCTTGAGCTTGCGCCAGTGGCGCGTGTTTTGATCCAGGACGATCACCGCTGTCAGCAGCCGAGGCGGCGGCGGCACCCGGTCATCGCCTTCTCCTGTCCCCGCGTCGCTTTCTTCCGGGCGAGCCAGCGGCAACAGGAGCCGCCCTCGGGCCGCTTCGTCGGGCACCACGAAGTGCAAGGGCACGGGCCGCCCGTGGGCGCGGCGAATCACCGTCGAATTGAGGTTCACGTTGAGCGATCCGCGCAGGCAAGAGGCCGAATAGGAGAGGTACGGTCTACAGTCCAGGACTAGGCACCGGGCAGGCTCGTTTCGTAGCAGCTGCTTCAGCCGACCGGAGTCGAGCGTGGTTACCTTCATCTTCGCCTAGAAGTCGCTTCGGAAAAGGTCACCGCCAGCGATTAAAGCGGGCTGGGGCTGGGAGACAGACACCTTGTGTTTCTGAAACGCAGCCGCAGGGGCTGCCGGCCTGTCTTCTTAATGCCCCTCCTGGCTGAGATCGCGTCGCGCCCTTCCCCGCCCTGGCATTTCCCTCCCCGGACTCGATCAGGGAATTCCGCGTACAAGAAGAGGCAATTTATCTGAATGAACCGCCGGAGCCGCGCGGCGCTGTCCATATAAGGCGACTAACGTCATAGAAACGTTCCACCACCCGTTGGGACGCCTCTTCGCTAAGCCACGCCCGCTCGCGTAGAGGCGGTGAGGAGATTCCCTCCCCCAGGAGGAGGGGAAGGCGCAGCCGAGGCGATGCTCAGTAAAGCGTTAGTCAGACTTCTTCAAGCAGAGGAAGTTGAAGAACGCCTCAGAAATTCTCTAGTCATCAGAAAGCCCTCCTTACACTCACCCAGCCATCATTTGTTTCCGTTGACTTAGTAATGAAGGAAAGGAAGTGTGGTGGGGGTGATGATGGTACAAATAGAAACAGAGCCTCTGTAAAGGAGGATGGAGGGGGAGGGAAGACGAGTTGCTCCTGGGAGAGCTGAGCTGATCCCCGCTCAGGTTGCAGTGGGCTGATCCATCCGCTCCTCTTCGCAGGGGGCAGCTAAAAAGGGGGCACTACTTTCAGACAGCAAAGAATGTTCCTTGGCTAGCATGGGGCTCCTGGGAGTTGTAGGATTTTTTCTCACTAGGCAGGCATAGGATTCAATCCTAAAGGACAAAATCTGGAGATGCAATGATGAGAAAAGCATCACCTCCTGAATGTTTGTCTTCTGCCCACCTGTGAAAGGTACAGAGCATCTGTCTGGGCAGACTAGGAATGATGATCCTACTCATATGGAGGAATGTGGAATACCATGCATAGATTCTTTTTACACAATTAAATTTAGCACATATCCTGCAAATAGTATCCTTACCACTGAACCATTTTGGGTGGCAGATTCCAGAGATGGCAGAATTTCCTTGCATACAGGAATTCCTGTACAGAGAAGGATACCTGTGTGTCTGTTTCCTCCTTTGGCAGTAATTTTGTTTATTTGACATTCTCCATTTGTTAACTCATAGAGGTCAATACACATCCAATATAGCATGACACAGGTTGTGCCCCTACAAAAGTTGACCTAAAATATGTATTTTCAAAAAATTCTTGAGTGTTACGGAAACACAGTTCAGTATTTGTCTAAAAGTGGTTCTGTTTTGCAAGACCAGTATGGGGATGATGGGTGGAAATCAGCTCTGAATAAAGCCCATTCATGATCGCCTGGGAATCTTGTTCACATTAGTTAAGGCATTTCACCGCCATTCACAGGTTCTACTTTTCTCAGTATAAAAGTCAACACGCAACCTTCAGGCTAGTGTAAAAGAAGGATGTCCCCTACTTTCTTACTGCAACTTTGGTCCATAATGCCCTGTGAGATAATCCATCATATATTGTGTATGCAACTCTGCTGTTTTTCATTACCTCTTCTTAATTACCTGCCCATTCACCTCTTTTTTTGCACCTATGCCATGCATTCTTGTTCATTTCTTCAACAATTTCCCAAATTCTTTTCAGTAAATTAAAACCTTAGTTGTGATACACACAAATGTCTAACAAACAAACATCTTTAAGGGTACAGTCCTGTGCAGATTTCAACAGGAAGGAAGATCTACAGCTTCTCATAGGATTTTTTCCATCTAAAGTTCCACAGGAAGTCACCTTTAGCTATAGCGGTTAATAGGCACATTTTCAGTGACATGATCTTCAGTATGGAACAAAATGAGACAGTTAATTGTTTTTAGTACAAACTACATACCTGTGTCAGGAGTATGATATTATAAGGAATCAGTACATGTTTATATGACACCTTTGGGAAGGCAAAGCCAGCATCTGAAGGTGTGCTCAGTGTTTAACTGGTTTACAAATCTGTTGCAAATACATTTCAAGTCATTGATTTGCACTCCAGCATATGGAGAGAGGTTCAAAAGCATTTTAGGTGTTGTGTGTTATCAAGTCATAGCTTAGAAAGGGGAAGGTTGGAGAAAGAGGGTACCACCCTTTTTTGCTTTTCTCATTACTATTTTATATTGAATCTACACAGGAAGGTCTCTTCTGCATGAAAAGCAGAGTGACATCCAGGATGCCTGTGTTAAGGCAGGAAGCATTCCTCAGATTTTTCCTTTTTATGAGGTTGGTGCAGCTATTAGAAAATGTGATTGCTACAGCTCCTGAAAGATTTCCCTTCTCCTTTTTAATAAAATGCAGCAGAAATGGGGCCAGGAACACTCTCATGAGTTTGCCTTACTTTAAAACTGGGATAGGCAACCTGGAGGCCTCCAGATATTAGAGTCTGTATCTTCCATCATGCTGTCCATTGGCCATGCTGGTTGGGCCTCATGGAGTTGTAGACTCAAAATTTGGAGATTGCCTAACCCTGCCTTTTCATGTATCCTGCCTTTTCATGTATCAACAATGGTATAACATGACTTTAAGCAGTGAGGTCAGATGACAAAAAAATGGGAAAAGTACAGTCCATTCAATTAGAGCTTGAATGTATGCAAAATAAATACTGCTACCTTTTGCAACAGCAGTGATAACAAATCAGGTTAGCAAAGCTGAGTTAATCAACATCTGTAAAGTGACAGGAACCATTATCTGTATTCAAGCCCCAATTAATAGAACTGGTAGGTGAATGTAAATCAGCAGTTTCCTGTTGAAGCTTCTATTTAACCAACCTTCCTTCCTTCCTTCCTTCCTTCCTTCCTTCCTTCCTTCCTTCCTTCCTTCCTTCCTTTCTTTCTTTCTTTCTTTCTTTCTTTCTTCAAGGAAGGTTACCTTAAAAGCAGTAGCAGAGTGAAATGATTTCCTATGGATTTTTGAAATCAGTCATTTGGGCCATCAGATTTAAAGCTGTTCCTTAGGGCATGGCCTCTTTTTCTGTGCAGAAGGGTGCTTCTGGCAGACGATAGCATATGCCACATTGGAAGACAGTGAGAGAATAACTTCTGATGTTATTAGGATGTATAATAGACCCAGATGCTAACCCATGGTGGGGAGAATTGAGCTTGATCAAATCCTCATGCTAGCATTACCCGGGGGGGGGGGGGCAACTGAGCTAGGAAAGGGAGTCGAAACAGGTGGCATCATAGAAAAAGGACAAGTGGGCCCCCAGACCTTTGTAAAAATAATAAATTAATAGGAAAGGCAAAAGAAGCAAAGAGGACCTGCTATTTCTTTCCTGCTAGTTTATAATGGACAGGGGAGGAAGAAAGGACGGGGACTTATCTTTCTTGCTTTTCTTCAAAGGCAAACAGTGTGTGAAAAAAAGTGGCAGGAGCAGCTGCTGCCTTATGCGCATCAAGGGTATAGGGCACTGGACTGCATCTTCTGTTTACTTTCCAAGATACCACGGGCTCTACTGTCTTACGACTTGTAGAGTGGCCATGTTCCTACTTTCAGAGGCCAGTCCTCTATTTGAGGGTCCTTCCTCTGTTGGAAGAGCTTTTCTGCCCAAATCCAGTTTTAAAAAAAGCATAAGGAGGGAAAAGTGGAGCCTTGAAGCTGACTATCAGGAGCACACAGTAGACTGAGTTACTGGCGCACACAGATCACATCTCAGCCTTCTTCATTGTGGTGAATGTGCTGGATTTCTATTGAACTTGTAGTAATTATAATTTAATCTGTACAAGTCAGTTTCCTTTTTAGTACGTTTAACTGTTCTGGGTTTCCTTCCACTCCCTTTTTTGGTAATGCATAAGAGGCTATCCCAGAAGAACTGCAAACAATTTCCTTGGTAATAATCCCTCCTAATCGAGCCCATTTCTTCAGAATCTGAATTCACAGCTTCATTACAGAACTATCAGAAGGACTGCTCTCTTCCCAGAAGAACAAAGCCTGTGTCGAGCTACGTGGGCAGAATTCACACAGCACTTTGTTACAAGAGATGATTTGGGAAGGCATCCTTGACCAATTTTTAATATTAATATCACTTGTGAAAGAATTTGTATATCATAGCTTAGTAATCAATTCAAAGGGAGACTGCAGTCAGGAAACTGGAAGAAGAAAGAGACTTGGAAGGGCACCAATGAAGAAACTAGAAAAGATCATCAGATGTAAGGATGTTTCTCTGCAGTCCAAGACCAAGATCAGTTACATCACTGTATTTCTGATCATTGTGTATGTGTGTGAAAGCTGGACAGTGAAGAAAGCCAATAGGAATTAAATGGATGTGTTTGAAACATGGTGCTGCAGTAGTGCTCTGAGAATACCCTAAACAACGACAAAGACAAGTATGTTCTAGATCAAATCTAGAAGTTTTCCTAGAAGCAAAAATGACAAAACAGAAGCTTTTGTTCTTTGGACACATCATGAGAAGGCAAGACGCCCTGGAGAAGAAAAACATACTAGGTAAAGTCAAAGGCAGAAGAAGAAAAGGAGACCAAGTAAGAGATGAATCAGTTCTCTGAAGGAAGCCACAGTCTTTCATTTAGAATAGGTAAGCAGGACTGTCATGAATAGGATATTTTGGAGGACCTTCATTCATAGGATGGCCATACATTGGAGACAATTTGTTGCACATAATGACATATAGTGATTAGACCCCATACATACCCTGATGGGAAGCAGCAGCAGAAGTAACATCGCCTTGATTTTCTGAAAGTCTAATGAAAGCATTTGTTTAACTTAGCCTATAGAGAGATTGCGGGGGGGCGGGGGGCAGGGGGGAATTAATAGATGTTTCCTCTTAGATTTGACTCATCAGTGCTAGTGTTTCACTTTTAGTTTGTGCTAGTGTTTCACTTAAGAAATGTTTCCAAATTGGGAAATGAAAAAGGAGATGCTTTCTTTTTTCAAAGGAAAAAGTTACGTAAGAAAAAATACAGTTACTTAGATAAGCAGGGATTTCCCCATCTTTCTCCTGACAAGCAACCTCCTCTTCTCCCCCATTTTGCTGCTGTGCTATATCGTGCTATATATCTGTGATAAGATTCCTGTGATTTGACCGTGGTATATAAGGAAGAATGTGAGCACACACATACTCTTAGCTTTTCCAATCCTGATTCTGGGAAAGAAGGAGAAGTGGAATGTGTGAAATTATTATAAATACCTGAATCATCATGGCCCAGTCTGGGA